CTGAGGTCAAATTTGAACTGGGTTTTTCTGACTCTAGACCTACCACATTGAGCACTATGGTGCCACCTAGTGGATGGAAATACACCAACTACTGATGTTCTTTAAATCCCTTGTCTATATGGTGTGAATACTATTAACGAAAACTGATTTTCCCTTTTAAAATATTGAGGATCTTTGTGTTTGTTTTGTTAGGGTATGGGTAGCTTTTTCTTTTATCACGAAATATCTTTGCCACTCCTGGTAGATCAATAATTACTCACCTACCCCTTTTTTTTTTCTTTTTTTTTCTTTTTTTTTTTTTTGCTGTTTGTGACATTACCCCTGAGAAAGGAATTGCTGATGAAAGGGAGAAATGGGAGCAGATTAAGTTCCAAGTCATCTTTGCCACTGACTACTATGTTGTACTAGGGTTGGAGAAAGGGGGGGAGAGGAGGAATTTCCAAATTTAAAGAGGATCACTGGGAGTGACCTACACCAAAACCCCAAATACTCCCATAATCTACTTCCTTTTTTATACACACTTTCTAAACCAACAAATTATGTAAGTAAATATAACATACAGTATTGATATAGCTCCCTAAGGTTTGCAAAGAGCTTTAAATATATTATTGTATTTTATCCTCATAATAACCCTGGGAAGTTGGTGTGATTATTATGTCCATTTTTCAGATAAAGAATGAGGCTGAGAGATCCATGTTTACACAGTGAGTGTCTGAGACCAAATTCTAAGAGATCTTCCTGACTCCAGATCAAGCACTCTATCCACTGCACTACTTACCTTCAGCTAAAATTTGTTTTAATATGGTAATGAATATGTCTGGATCCAGTGGAGCTATCATGAGGTTTCTGAGAAAAGCCTGAAAAGCAAAAGACAAGAAAATCTTATTTAGTTGAGAGTCAGCAAATTTGAAAATAATGAAAATTCTTCCAGGGCTGGGTTGAAGTCTACTTTTATATTATCTTCAGATTATGTAATCGTGTGCTAGAAAGTGTTTATGAAGCAGATGACTAGTGTAAAGAGGATTATGATGCCCACTTAAGATGGCAGCTGTCCTGGCACCTTGAGTATTATGAGCTCACTTTAACTTTTTAAGTAAGACTGCATCCCCTTAGTGTTCTTAAGGGCACCCCGAGGGGATGGGAGGTTTTCTTTCCTCTAATGTTATTGTCTTAAACCACTATTCCTGGGTGCCCTACTGTTAGCTACCAGGGATTGACACCCCAGCTCCATTTAATTAGTTAATGTCAATTGGCTCTTACAATGAGTGAGTGAGTTAAGACTTAATATAGTTTCTGCATAGATTTGGTCCTACTGAGTCCAGATTCAAATGTGGCATGGGCTGCTAGATAAGTCCCTGTCTCAACTACCAATGGTCTAGGGCTAGAAGGCTACTCCTTACTCCTCTGAGCATTGGTGCTGGATAGGCTGGCTTCAGAACCCCAGCTGGGCTTCACTTCTAGACAGCCACCTAAAATGAAAGACTTCCATCTAAAATAAAAGAACAAATTATGAGGCAAAGCAATTATTTTCAAACACAGCTCTGCTTTAGATGAGCCAGGCTCTCGTCTTGGCATTATCTCTTTTGGGAATGTTTCCAGTCAAGGAGAACCCACACCAAAAGATCAATCAGGTTCTGGTTTTTGAATGTACCCCCACTTCCTAATAATAAGCCAATTCAATGAGGTTCTTCATATGGCTAGAAGTCTGGAGCCAATTATAAAACATCTACGCATGCTCAAAAGTCCACCTGGGGATTATATCAGTTGAGCACCCTGTACATACTCACAAATACTGGGTTTATTGGCCAGTGACCCATTATTCTAATTTAAACTTAACCTTCCTTGAAATTATTGTGAAATTTTACTATGATATTAACATCTTTGAATGTTAGTCACCAACTATTAGCCATTTAAATGGCTATTTTATGCTTACTTTTGGTTAGGGCTTCTAGACTGCTAAATTTGGGGATTGATGGAAACTACACAGAAATCAACAAGGCATTTGATACATCCTAAGCTTAAGACATTCACAGAGTCCCAAGAGTCATGCTCAGAGAGAAGAAGAATGAGAATAAAATTTATAGCTCTTTTTAAAGTCTGTTAAGTGGACTCTCTTTTCTGATCAGTTACTAGTCATCTTAGATACAGCCTTGCCCCATCTCTCTTTCCAGGGACCGTGGGGACCAATCAGGAGCCTCTGACTGACACATCTCTCATAATATTCTTGTGAACCAAATAGAGGAAGGTGGAGCCCTCTTCCTGATCAGTTACCACTCATCTTAGACACAGCCTTGCTCCATCCCTCTTGCCAGGGACTATGGGGACCAATCAGCAGCATCTGACTGACATGTCTCTCATGATATTCTTGTGAACCAAATGGAGTAATGTGGGCTGAATGAAAGTAGACTTGGGGAGATTTATACTGTTTTTAAGTGTCTAGCTCTAAAAAGCATTAATTACTATCAATGTGGAATACTTCAGGACTTTGCCACTGACCTTGTTCTCTATACTGAATTTTATCAGTGATTGGGATGAAGAAATGGAGGGCACCCATATTAAGTCTGTCAGTGATGTAAAGCTGGTATAGGTATCAAAGCAAAGATCCAAAATGAAATAGGGAAGCTATATAATATTATGGACCAATGCTAATGACATTTAATAGAGATACCTATAAAGTTCTTCATTTAAGTTTTAAAAAATCAGCCTCCCAAGTACAAGAGACGGTCTAGGGAGGGGAAAGAAGTGGGAGTGGGGTAAGTTGCAACACAGTTCATGTGAAAAAGACCTTGGACTTTAAAGACCCCTGGAAGTTAGCAATGTAAGATGGGAGCTAATAAAAACTTAGGCTGTTGACATAAGTATAGTCTAGAACAAAGGAAGTGATAGTTATTTTGTTGTAAGGTTCTTGAGGGCAGGGTATCTGCCAAGCACAAGGCTAGACACATAGAAAGTAGTTTAAAACGTGCCTGTTAGTTAATCTTTGCATCCCCAGTGTCTCCTAAATACATAATAGACACTTAACAAATATTTGTTGCATAGGGTCTGGCTGTTGTTGGATCCAAAGAATTTTGTCCACCACAGTTAAGGAGAGGTATTGATAAGATGGAGTATGTCCAAAGGAGGATGACCAGAATGGTGTGTACGAATCATTTGAAGGAACTGAGAATGTTTAGCTTAGAGAAGAAAAGATATAGGAGGGAGGTGATCACTTTTTTCAATTATTTAGAGTTGTCAGCTAGAAATGGATTTAGATTTATTGTGCTTGGCCACAAAGGGCAGAGATAGGACCCAGGAGTGAAAGTTACAAGAAGGAAGTGATGGGGCTCAATATAAAGAACAGTTAGAGCCATCCAAAAAGGGAATTAGCTGCCTAACAAAGTAGGCCTCCATGTGTTGGTGAAGTGTTTAAACATAGGTCATTTTGTTAACCTGTGCTCAGATAGGCACTGGACTGGATCACTTTTGGAGAACCATGCAACTTTTAGTCTGATTCTCTCAATATAAAATAGTAAAGAATGATAGGAGATTAATCGACTAGAAACCATGCTGGTATGGTATGTATTAATGAATTCAATCTCAATAACAAGTCAAATTTATATAGCTTTTTAAGAATATTATCTCATATTCTCATCATAACATCCTTCTGATGTAGAGAGTACAATATGTTATCTCCATTTCTCCTGGCTCAGGCTCAGCCATATGTCTACTGAATAGTTGAGCGAGGACTCAATATCACATCAGGGTTCCTTCTTTCTTGACTCTGAATCTAGGACTTTCCTACTAAGCCATCCTGTCTCTCAATATTTACAGCTTCTAAAATTTAAGTTAAAGTTTATTCTAAAATCCAAGACTTTTGCAATACAAAAAATGAGATTTTCCTCAACTTTATTTCTATTACTTTATATTTCTCATAAGATCTATTTCATCAACTTAGAACATTACCAAGCAATACATTTTCCTGCATGTTTCTAATGTAACATTTCCAAGTATCTCATTTTAATTACGTTGGAAAACTAGGGGAGTAATGAGAAATTCTACGATGTTTTATAGAATTTAAACCTTTTACCAGAATATTAAGGAAAAAAGCTAACAAGACTTAGCTTTAACCTTTAATTCCTGCAAACACAGTTGGAAGACTACCAGAAAATAAATTATAAAAATTTCCATATAGCTTTTCCACAGTAATAAATTTCTACTGTTCTTTCATATACCATCTGAAGGCTAGCTATTCTTCAGGCCAGGAGTCAAAAGCTGACACCTTCCGTACTGGTCCATTTCTAACTCTGATACCACATATAAAATCCCATCTCTGTTTAAACTTGTGCTACATTTTCTTGGCTCATCTAACAACCCTAGCTTTAGTACAGAATTTCAATTTGCCCCTTCGTAATGATATTCTTTGAAACAGCTACCTTAAATATTAGAGATTTACTGTACTAGTTCAAATATAGGTCTGAATATAAACTGTACCCCTAAAAATGAGCTCACTTTAAAAAGAAAGGAAATTATGTAAATGAAACAAAATGATCTTGTAAAAAAAAACTACCATGCAAGTTTTTCCCACATCTCTTCCAATTCAAATAAAGAAGGCTTCTGCATTTTTATCATCACTATCCTCTTCCTCTCATTCACATTGTTGTCTTGGTTACTTTGTTATCCTTCTCTTACTAAGATTGTAATTACAGGCTGTGCTCAAGTTTTTGTATAAGCCAAATTTGAGGGGGTGAAGGGAGGGAGTGCAGCATACATTTGAACCAATATGCATATTTAACTTTTTTTCCAAATCGAGATAATTTGAAATCTATTAAAAAGAGAAAAAAACACTATGACATCTAGATATTTTAAAAACTATGACATTGTACATGGGAATCTTGATTTTTCAACAAATCACTTTTTAAAACAAACCATGTTAGAATATATACATATGTATTCATTGAATCTTACTGGCCTGCTATGACAGCCATGTCTTTTTTTTTTTTTTTTTTTTTTTACATTTTTAGGTCATGCGCAAATTGTCCATCTTCTTTTGGAAAGAAACAAGTTGGGAACCATTCCATCTGATAGCCAAGGAGCAACACCACTCCATTATGCATCCCAGAGTAATTTTGCAGTAAGATATATTCTTCAGAATAATTATTGCATCTTTGATTTTTAAATCACCATTATTCCCAAATGTATACCTCTCCCCTACCCAGAGAGCTATTCTTTGGAACAGAGAATTGACAACTGAGAAGGGGCCAGAGTGGAGGGAAGGTGGTGTTGAAAGTAGCAGTTCAGCAAAAAATCAACACCTCAACTGAATGCAATAGCATATATGATGTTACAGACAGAGAGAAGGGAAGGAGGTAAATTTTCTCACCTCTTGTAATATACATCCTACACCTAAAATAGGTGAGCTGAAGCTATTATACCAATGGTTCAGGTAACTTGTGGGAGCCATGGAGAACAGCACCCTCCTTTGTGAGGCCATAGACTGTATGTTTTATACTTACAGTTTTTCTTTGTTAGTATTATCTTTGTTATTTTGAATTTGTCAGCTGCAACCAGTATATTTATTTATATTTTATATTTATTATATATTATATATAATCATATATACATATATATTTATTTTATTTTTTATAAATCAGAAACTTTTAAACATCAATTGAAAAACTTGTCAGAGTGTCTTGGTAAATGAATGGGACAAGTTATAGGAAGCAAAATAGAATCAATTCATGACTATCCATACTAAGGGAGGGGAAGAGAAACACAGGTACCCCAAAATGATGAATAATCCAAAATTTTTATCTTTGGCTTTGGGTGTGTTTCCATGCTTAAACTCTGTACATGGATGTGTGCTGGAAAATAACTGCAAACACAGATAATGAAGCCACACCATGATTGCAGGTCTACTCTAGAAGGACATGGAAAATCAGTCAGTTTCTGTGCTTTGCCTCCTGTTCATTTTCTCCCTGTTCTCTGTTCCCCCTTGGGGTGGGTAGGCTGCTTTCTGTCAGTGCCAGACCAGGCAGAGCTGCCCTCCTTCAGACCTTCCCTTGACCTGGGACTCCTTAATCGTTTGTGTTTGAAAGGTCTTCCCGGCTGTGCTGCAGAGTAAGAGGAAATTCAGCCCCAGCCCTGGAGGGAGACAAAAGCCTGTAATTAAGCAGAGCAGATGCTGTCAGTAGAATAAGGAGCCCACCTCTCTTCCCCCAACAAAGCAAGTAATTAAGCAGAGTATTGTAGGTGCTGTCAATAAGGGGAGATTTGTTTGGGATAATATGCCCACTGGAGACTTGATTTTCTAATCATGGTGCACATTTTTTGAGCACCACAGCTTGAATCTCTTTGACTCCCTTGAACTCTTTTAACCCATCTAGGGTTTACATCCCCTGGTTTGAAAAATGCCCATCAACCCACAATTAAACTTTTATCATTTGTAAAATGTGCCCAACTGATGAGATCTCTGGGTAGAGGGGCACAGAAAATAACAAAAAAATGAGCAATTTGTAAGAAGCTAAGTGGTATGCATTTGATTTTGTCAAAATTTGACCTTGCTCTTGATCTTCAGAAATGTCCTTGCTGTGCTCACCCCTCACTTAGGTAAAATCTCTCCCCCAAAAACTGGGCTTTTAAAAAAAATCATATCCCAAAGGCCAGTATTGCAAAGCCTTGGAAGATATGACTCTGAAGAAAAAGAATTATGTTTATTCCTCTCCACTAGAATCAAGTCAGAGAATTTTGAAATAGTCAACCATTTTTATGGTTATGAGGATGAAAAGAGATAGAATATTGTATTTCTAAATAACCATCCATCATTACTCAGCAAATATGATCTAGCCAAGGATGCATTTAAGTATTAATTAAAGAAAAGATAAGACATCTTTAGACGTTTGTGGTCAAGAAAACACAATATATTTCTTACCAGCACATAAAATACATAAAAGGTATTTGCTGTCATTTTTCCAATAAATCCAACCCAGCTTTCTCCTGATACTTTCTGTGTGTAATTACAGCCACATTCTTTTCAGCCCTTCCCCAAAGGAAAGGTAAGGATTGACATTAGATATTTACAGTTTGATTTGGTAGAAAACTGATTCACAGAAACCCTTTCAATCATTTGCAAACTTGCTTTCTGGTTTTTAAAACTCACACCAGGAAATTTAAATAAAGAGCAACAGTTTCCCTAATGGTGATTGCCTTACTCTTGTAATCATTCTTTTTGTTTGTCATTGTAAGGAATTTAAGCTACACATCATCATTTTAGTTCTCTCAGTTTTTCACTTCTCAAAGACCCTTCCCCACTTTTGTTTACCTTTCCACTTTCTCTTAACTCTAGTACTCAAGAGTTTTTCAATTATCAGGCTTCACAACTTTGTAAATAATAGAAAACTCTCTTCGTAGTTAAGCAGCCTACTTTTCCTTTCCCTTTTTACCTAGGAAGATGTTCTCCCTTCCTTCTTTCCTCCTTCCTTGTTCCCCTCCCTTCCCCTCCCCATTCCTTTCCTTTCCCTCTGTCCACATATAGAGTATCACACCTTTACCTGCCGAAAGGAATGTAAATTTTAATAAGAAGCTTTGCAAGACATCTAGGGATCTACAGGCTAGATTTTTTTTTCCTTTTTTTTGTTTTTTGTTTTTTGTTTTGGCAATGAGGTCAAGTGACTTGCCCAGAGTCACACAGCTAGTAAGTGTTATGTGTCTGAGGCTGAATTTGAACTCAGGTCCTCCTGAATCCAGGGCCAGTGCTCTATCCACTTGGCCACCTAGCTGCCTCTTAATTTTTTTTTCCCCTTAAGGACCATGACTTCAGCCAAATCACTCAGGCTGATTGTCTCAGAATGAATGTAAATAGCAACTGTTTCTATTTTGGCCAGAAACCCTAAGGGTCTTCCCCTCCCAGATTGATTTTTTTTTTATTTTTAGTGAGGCAATTGGGGTTAAGTGACTTGTCCAGTCACACAGCTAGTGAGTATCATATGTCTGAGGCCGGATTTGAACTCGAGTCCTCCTGACTGCAGGGCCAGTACTCTATCCACTGCATCATCTAGCTGCCCCTGATTTTTTTTTAAACTAGGTAATAGAGGCCACTCTGCCTCATTTCTTACCTATCCTAATCACTGAATGAGGCATTGCTTCAGTCAAACTGAGACCTGTTAAACACCTTGGCTTAAAAAGGTCAAGATCTCCCACTACATCCAGGGCCATCTCCAGTCATCCTGATACATATATCTTGCCACTGGACCCAGATGGCTCAGGAGGAGAAAGTGAGGCTGGTGACTTTGCACAGCCCTCCCTTTCACTTCCCATAGCCTTCTCCATTCACTTGCATGTCATGGTATCACTTTCCTGATGTCATGGTCTTCTTTGAGAACAGAGGACAAACCACAACAAGGAAGATGTTAACAATAACTTTCTTGGATGCGGAAAGAAAAGAAGCATTTTCACTCACTACTGTGCACATTGGGGTTGCTTCCCCTGAGTGACCATGGGTATGCATTCTCTTCGCCTCGAGGCTCAATGAATTCTTAAAGTCTTTCCAGATGAAGGCATTCCCCCATTCCAAAGGACCTCAGGAGGCTTATCTATATTTGCATCTTCAGGTCACTTGAGTGAGTAGTATTCTCCAGCTATTCTCCAGTAAAGCTAGGTCTAGGGAATAGGGTATAAAAAGGTGTGCACATCAGTATGCAAGCATGTGACTGTTTTGCCATTAGAAAATGACAAAGAAAATCATTATTAGTGGTGGCTATGGTATAGAATGTTATGTTTTGTGGCATCTTTGGTGGCTAATGATGAGCTAACCATCAAAGTTAGCTTTTGAACTTTGAAATTCTGTGAAATTGCAAAGGTGGCTTATGTGATTTTATTTTCCTTATAAAAGCAGCATGTATACAACACTGGTGAGAGGAATCCCACTGTGTATCCTTTTTAATTTAATGAAAATAACCATAGCTATCATTTGTATAGTGCTTTACGAATATTATCTCATTTTATCTTCAAAATAACCCTGGGAGGTGGGTGCTATTATTATTATCCCCATTGTACAGATGAGGAATCTGAGGCTGAGGGAGGTTAAGTGATTTGGCCAGAGTCATACAGCTAGTTAGTGTTGGAGGCTGGATTCGTACTGAGTCTTCTTGACTCCAAATCCAGTGTTCCCCGGCTTCCATGCCTTTTCAGACTTTGTAAATTTTAATCATGCTATCCTATAAATTCTGCAGAGAGGATCTACTAAGTTTCCAAACAATCTGCCACCAAATTTCCTCAGAACCAGAACAATAACAATAGTTGAATTTGTGCAGCCTCAGGAGGTAATGGATTCTATTTCCCCTCTCTCTCTCCCAAGATCTTCAAGTAAGGGTTAGATAACCACTTATAGAATATGTTATCAAGTAAAATCTTGCTAGGGTACAGATTATACCAAGTAGCAACTTAATAAAATGTGTTCAACTGAATAGAGTCCAAAAAGTAAGGAAGATTAAGTTTGGAATAACAAGGATTTAAACACTTTTTTTTTTTACAAGACTTACTTTGAATACTTGAAACTACTTTTTTATTTACCTTTTATTTTATTTACTTTATTTATTTAGGATTTATGCCAAGCCTACTTCCAAAAGGATTTGAGGTGGTTCAACCAGTTAGATATAATGCCAAATTGGATATTTATGAATAAAAATCAGAACTCAGGTGGTCTAAATTAGTAGTGTCAAACTCAAATAGGAATGGAGGACACTGAACTATACATAATGATCCATAGGGACACATAATATTTTCTCTAGTGATTTAATGTTTTATTTTTCCCCAATTACATGTAAAAAACAATTTTTTACATTTTTTTTATTTTGAGTTCCAGATTCTCTCCCTCCTTGTGCTCCTCCCCTCCTCTCCCTCTCCCTCCCCCCCACCCCTGCATTGAGAAGGCAAGCAATTTGATGTAGGTTATACATGTGCAGACATACAAAACGTATTTCCACTTTAGTCATGTTGTGAAACATGAGAAAAAATATGAAAAAGTATGCTTCGATCTGCATTCAGACTCCCATGAGTTCTTTCTCTGGAGATGGATGGCATTTTTCATTATAAGTCTTTCAGAGTTGTCTTAGATCATTGTATTGCTGAGAATAG